TACGATCAATTTGTTTGCCACTTGAACAATGGGACGCTGGACCCGATTTCCAGCAGGTGATATGATCAATTTGTTTGTCACTTGAACAATGGGACGCTGGACCCGATTTCCAGCAGGTGCAGCTCCCCACGAATAGACCGGAGCCATCGAGCGTCTGCTGGCTTCTACCCCCCGGGGTTCTTACCACCCTGGAGGCCGAAGACCTAGCCCTGCCCGCTGTTTTTTTTCTGAAAATTTGAAAATAGCAAAAATTCGAATGTCGTTTTGTGCCAAAAAAACCCCTTTCCCCTGCCCGCCCATCGTTTGTGCCCCACATTAATCGTTGTATTCGAATACAACGTACGTACGTTAGGCGTTCTATTGGGGAAAAAAGCAGCCATTTCGCAGAACCCATTTTTTCGCGGTAAGTTGTATAGAACGTACGTACGTTTTTTTCGGGCCCTGAGCCCGAAGCTCGTCCGTGAGGGTGTATCGGTCAGGTAAAGGTAATTCTTGCCTCAATCGACGTGTCATCATCGAATTGACCCGCTCCAGGTAATTCAGAGTCCAGTTTATTCACTCGCGGGATTCGAAGACGGGGACTTCCGATCAATAGTTCACGGGTTTACCACTCAGCCATATCGGCCGGGTCTCAGCCACGTTTGGACCAGGTTTAGGCGAACTAGCTCCGCTGGAGCTATTTTAGACCTGTGCGGTACTATTTTAGACCTGTGCGCTCCTGTGGCGGGATGGACCGGTTTAGGCCGCATCGGCCGGCGGCGTTCTGAGGCTGGTGCCCCGGTTGCTACTGCTGGCGTGATCACCGAGTCCGACGCGTTTCTGGACGTTTGTAGGTAGGTGGTTGTTCTGCCTTGTGAGGCCGGCCCGCTAGAATGAGGAGGGCATACTCACACTTGGTAGCAGCTGTACGAACCTAACCGCAATTATGTCCTCAGCGTTCAGGGAAAAGTCCTACAGGGGTGTGAGCATGCTCTGAGGTGGAGTGATCGGTAAGGGAATCTATCACTCGTCTGGCTGTCAGACCATCGGTCGGTCTTGCAGGCGGACAGGCGGTCTCGATGTCGAAAAAGCGAAAGCTGCCTGCTTTCTTTTGCTACGTGGCGTCGGCGGGGCGGCGGGGATGTTCTTTCACAGTTTGGACGACTGGAGGAATGGCGTCTCGCTGACCATCCCTCTCCTTTGGGCAACTTGATACAGCGGTCTGCTTTTGGTTGGTTGAAATTTCTGGCGGCGCATTTGTGTGATTGACGGTGCAGTCAACGGACGGGATTGCCTCGGAAGATTGTGGTCACGGTGAATCTGGAGGAGAATGCAAGCAGCTCTCTCCTCGGCGATACTCCGATTGAATGGAATGATGGAGTGTCGATTTGCGTACTGCTGAGAGGAAGTTTGCGAGCTATGGCCACCTCGCAGTTATCTCTACTATCATTGTGCTGTCCTCTCGGCTGACGTCCGTCTCTGTTGTTCTCTGTTTTGCGCGTCGTCTTTGTCTAGCCTTCCTGGCCCCGCTTCTTAAAGTGGCTTTGCAATTGCCAAGTAGGACGTTTCTGCGGGCCACGAATTCTCTCTCTCTCTCTAATTGTCCCTTGTAATTCTCTCTTCGCTACAATCTTTTCCGTATTGAGTGCCCGGTGACATGCTCGATTGCATCGTTGTTCTCGTGCGTCTCTCTGAGAAGAGGAGGTGGAGGCGCTTCGTTATCATCCAGCAGCCGGCGGGTCGGAATTAACCAGGAGGAGCAGGAAAGCATCATTGTATGCGCGTCGGCCCGTTGGTTTAGGTGAAGAACGATTAAGTGGAATAGAGGTAGGTGTAGTGATCATTACGACGTGTGCTGGACCGCCTGAAGTGGAAAAGTAAGTGGAAGAGAGGGAGGTGTAGTGATGATTGCAATGTCTGCTGAACTGCCTGGTGCGTTGTTGAAGATTTGCGCCCTCTGGATGTGTCTTGTGGCCCTTGTTTAATTGGCGCGCCCTGCGTTTCGAGAGCGACGTCGATCAAGTGAGAGACATTGGTCCAGAGAACACCATCCGTCTTAACCATCGTCGCACGCCGGCGTGCGACGGCGCAGGATTCCATCCCGGCGCGTACTATTCCTAAACTAAATCTTAGTGTTTCGCCCGCGTCGCCAATTCGAGAACAGTTAGTTGACCCTTTCTGCTTGAGAGGGAGGGGGTGGGGTGTCGAGTGTGTGTGGACGGACATCGAACGGACGTGACGTGATAGAGTCGCTTGCGTTTGGAGGGAGAACTCTTCATCGTTAGTGCACACAGGGCGGGGGGTGGGAGCGAGTCGATTGTTGGATGTTAACTCCTCGTTGCGGCTCTGTTTTCCGGCGCTCTTCGTCTTCTCTCTCTTTTTGAAAGACCTATGTAGAAGAGTAGGTAGTCATCCCCTCCACTTTTGAGGTAGGTTTTGTTCCGTAGGACTAGATCTGGAGACCTTCCTGCGGATAGCAACAAAAACGTGGTGTTATATTGCGTTCGAAGTCAGGGTACTGGCGGAGTCTCTCTCCTGAAAGCACCTTGTAGTAGAGAAGCGGATCAAGGCAGGACGTCGTCTGGCGGCTATGGTGGACAGAGGGCCGCGCTAACTATCGCGTGCTGTAGAACAGGGAGATTAGAGCCGCTTCCGGTAGCACAGCAAGGGGGTATTGGTGGAAAGTACGTCTAACGAGAAGATACACGGACGAGAGAAGGGGGAAGGGGTGGGGGTTGCGGGGATTGACGGATAACGTGGGGAGGGGAAGGTGGTGTGTTTCGCCTTTTGCTGCCCTCTGGGGTAGGCTTTGTATGGTGTGAAGAGACATCCGGGTAGCTAGCGAAGGTCGGCTTTGCTTCGTTGTACGCGAAGCCGGCCAGCTGGCAGGCGTACGCCGACCGTCTTTCAAAATGGGGAGAGATGTCCGCAAGGGGGGGGGGGACGATGAGGCGGCGAAGAGTTTTCAGAAGTTGCTGGGTGATGTAGGAGCGTGGGCGATGAATATTGTGAGCTCAGTGGGAATCATCCTTGTGAACAAACAGCTGATGTCGAACTACCACTTCACCTTCGCGACGACGCTGACGGCCATGCACTTCTCGATGACCGGTCTGATGGGGTTGATCTCCCAGTCGCTAGGATACGTAACTAGTAAACACGTGCCGTTCTTTGATCTTCTATGGTTCTCGTTGATTGCAAACACGTCGATTGTGGGGATGAATGTGAGTTTGATGCTGAACTCGGTGGGGTTTTATCAAATTGCCAAGCTGAGTATGATCCCGGCCACGTGCCTGTTCGAGCATCTTTTGCATGGAAAGACGTTCAATAGGGAGGTGAAAGGGAGTATCCTGCTCGTGTTAATGGGGGTCGGAATTTGCACGGTGACGGATTTTCATGTGCGAATGGGGGGTTTCTTCGCGGCGGTCATCGCCGTGGTGAGCACGTCTCTGCAACAGATTTTCATCGGCGCGCTTCAGAAGAAGCACAGCGTCACTCCCTCAGAATTGCTCTCGAAAACTGCCCCTCTTCAAGCTTGTTCTCTCCTTCTTTTGGGTCCGTTTGTCGACTACCTTCTTGTCGGCACCAAAATCACGGATTACCAAGGCGAGTTCTCCGCGTTCGCCTTCATTCTTCTTTCTTGCGCTCTTGCTATCTTCTGTAATCTCAGTCAGTATCTCTGCATCGGACGGTTCAGCGCCGTCTCGTTCCAAGTCATTGGCCACATGAAGACCGTTCTTGTGCTGCTCATGGGTTGGACACTCTTCGATACGCAGATCACCATGAAGAACGTCTGCGGTGTTCTGCTGGCTATCGTGGGGATGATTTGCTACGGCAAAGCGACCGAGAGGGCGAAGCATCCTCCCATGGATATGGCTTCCAGCCCGGGCAAGAAGGGTGAGCTCGGTCTTCTGCTCTCCACAGGTGGGGAACACGGCAAAGACGGCCCCGGCATTCTCAATGGCTCTTCCGCGTACGACGGCGACGACGAGGAGATGGGGTATCGCACCAAAGGTAGAAGGGAGAACGAGGATTGAAAAATAAGTTTAGCAATGGATGGATTTGTTTATCACGTGACGACGATTGCTGGTGTGTGCCAGTGAATCCGAATGCAATTAGGTCTTGTTGCGGGGGGAAATGTCGATGCTTGGCCACCCCTCAGGGAGGGAGGCGTCGCGCGCCCTCCACCCATGGGCTTAGGGCGGTCGTTTGCAGAAATTGCTCTTTCTCCGCGTGCGGATTTCGACACTATCCTGAGGTTATCGCCACGCGGCGCCCCCTCGAGTTGCAGTCCATCTGCTCGTGCTTGACGCTGTGTCGCGCTGGCAAGAGCGAGCGCACAGGCAATCTCCCTATGTTTCTCCTTTTGCCCTCTTTCCCATGCTTTCCGTCGGGTATTTATGCTGCCCCACACCTCATTTCGCTCATTCCCGCAGGTCTCCTCTTCGACTTTTTGCCTTTTTTCCCTGATTATTTGGTGCCCGGACTTGTGGTTCCTCCACACTTGGGTCATTTTATGTTCCTAGGGGATTTCCCTTGCTGCGTTCTCCTTATGGTGTGCCTGTGGATGGGAGAAGTAGACACTGAAACAGGTCTGGACGTGTGCGCGTGCTCTCTCTCTCTCTCTCTCTCTCTCTCTGTGTGTGTGTGTGTGTGTGTGTGTGAGAGAGAGAGAGAGAGAGAGAGAGAGAGAGAGAGAGAGAGAGAGAGAGAGAGAGAGAGGATGTAAGGTGGGAAGGTTGTGTGAAGGAGTGAGGGAGAGGCGGGAACACGTGGGGTTGCAGTGTGGCGTTGGCAGGGGTGACCGGTGAGATTTATAGTGTTGGTCGGTGGTAGATTGGTCGTTGAGGGAAAGTGGCGGTCAATGCAAGATTTGGTGGGAGCTTGTGAAATGCGCTCTCTACGGTGCTAGTTTGCTGTAGTGTGACGTGGTGATTTCGATCTCCGATTGCGACTCCCCGGGTGAGTGGCATTACGTTCTCTGTTTCAGCATTCACTCGAGCAGCAAGCAGTAATTTCGTTGGTTCGTTTCAAGAAGAGAAGCGCCCAACTTTCATTCTGTTTCCTCTTTCTCATTCCTATTCCTCCGTTGTGTTTCTTCCTCTATCATCATCATGTCTCTTTCGGCCCGACTTCTGAAACGTGGGCCGCTTATCCTATCATTAATAATCGACGCGCCTGCACGGGTAATTTTGGCCGGTGCTCAGGCGAATGTGCGGAGTGTCAATGATTGCATACACATTCCACTGTGTCTTTGAATTCCTTGAGAGGCGAAATTGGCGAAATTGTCAACATTCGGGTAATTTATTACTTAAAGCGGAGGTGAGGGAGCGATGGATTTACTAAGATTGAATAGGAGTGGGTGGTCCAGGGTCGTTTCAGGTATAGTTTAGCAGCGGAGGAGGAGGAGGAGGAAGAAAGTGAGTAAGTAGTTAAGGATGCGGCGGCTGAGTGAATAAAAGCCTTTGGCGGACAGGATGCAGTTTCTCCTAGTTGAAATGCGATATTCAATCCTTGTTCATGTCGATTGATAGGTGTTATAAGAGTGTGGGTGGTTCGCTGTGTCGTCCTGATGGTGGTGAATGGAGGGATTGGATTATCAGGATGGTCGTCGTCCTGATGATGGCTGAAGGGAGGATGGAGATGGCGACGGCAAGAGGGCGTATAAGTGAGAAAGGATTTGATGACGAGTGGATTATTGTCGGGACCTTGACAAGAATATCTTTCCTTTCGTGTTTGATTAGGGAGATGAGTTCGTTGTGAGCTTTATGGTGGTGGTCCCAGGCATCGTGTTATGTCTGGTAATTGGAAAACGATGTTTGGTGTTAGGAAAGCGGGACTGGAGAGCAGCGTTGTATCGTTCGTTGACAGATATACGATTGCGCTTCTTTTCAGTGGTGGTCCCAGTCTAAATGGTTTTTGATACTAGAAGTCTAAATGGAAGAAGATAGTGGGGCACAAGCGATCACGTGTGTAGGGTCGGGGAGGTGTGAAAGGCGGGTTCTCCACGGCGGCTAACAGATCCTCCTTGTCCACGTTGATTGCTGGCTTGGCGCGTTTGATTTACCGTGACCAGGTTCATCTCGTGGTTGTAGATGTGGACTCCAGCCCTGCGTAATGCATTTTCCTATGGTGATTTGACTTGTCAGAGTATAAGTCTGAAACGAGGGTAGGGCAAGAAATGGGTGGAAGATGAGCATCTTGTGTACGGTCACAGGATTCCGTAGTCGCCGTGATCGTGCGTGTCACACATTCAGAGAGATGAGCGACGGAGAGAGAGAGTTAAACAGGGGCCTGTGTGGGGGGGTAAAGTCAGGGTGAATTTGTTTGATGGGGTGACTCTAGGGACAGAAGCCGCTGGTCAGGGGTGGAGTTTACGTCCTCGGGGCTTCACGCAAGGTTGCTGACAGCCACGAGAAAACAAGGGGCGAGACAGACGGACACACAGAGACACAGAGAGAGAGAGAGAGAGAGAGAGAGAGAGAGAGAGAGAGGTGGAGGGAAAAAGCATGGATGAATGAATTTAGCTGTCCCAGCAGTGGAGGTAAGGGGTTATATACAGAAAAACCTCTTGTGAGAGAGAAGGGGAATCCGAGTGGAATGAGTGTTGTAAGGCGGAGAGAACTTCCTTCTACACGTGACGTGTTGGCTGTCCAACCCGTTCTTTCTTTTTTTCCTTAACCCCCCTACGCCTGCCTATTCAATTGCCTTGCAATCAAAAACATTGGTTGCCGTTTTTTCAAACGGTAGCCAATTCTTTCATTTGCACGTTGTGAGCATTTTGTTGTTATTATGGAATTTATGGTATTCTTAAACCCGGAGTGCCGTTGTATGTCTAAAACCGATTGCAGGGAAGGTCGATGTGTTATCGTTACTCGGTGGTTCTGTTATGAGGATGGTTGGGCTCTTTATTTCTCTTTCTTGGGATGGTTGGCTGTTGTTTTCTTGTCTTGCTTTGTATTCCTTTGTCTCGGAGAATGTGTGGAATGACAATGTGTGAGGGGGCGTGCGTGGTTGCACCCAACAAAATTACGCTGCCGTGGTAATAGTTCGAACACGTTTTTTGTCGAGACGATAGCTGATTTTGTCGGTGGAACCATTTTCTGAATGCGGTTCTGCATGTCCCTCTCTTTCGTTCTCCTCGTTGCTCTCACGTTCGCCTCATTCTTTGGAAAATCTCTCCCACGCTAAGTGGTTGGTTTTCATGTGTACCCGATTCTAAAGCATATTATTGGCATCGGAAGCAAATTTGCAGCAGCGTGCAGTTGGACTCGGCGATGTAGGAGGAATGGGAGCATGTAGCGTGTGCGTCATCATGTTTCGCGCCAATCGCGCAACCGTGTAGGTTTCGCGCAGTTCCCGCCAAATTTTCGCGCAGTTCCCGCCAAATGATGCAGGCATCGCAGACGTCGTCTATCAGATGCGTGCTAATCAGTAGGGAGTCACGAGTTAGTGACCATAATATAGGTATTGGCGCGAAGCAGCTCCCATTAGTGGTCATGGATGGATGTTTTGGTGAAAACAGTGAGAGAGAGAGAGAGAGAGAGAGAGAGAGAGAGAGAGAGAGAGAGAGAGAGATGGTCATGGATGGATGTTTTGGTGAACATACACGCACAGAGAGAGAGAGAGAGAGAGAGAGAGAGAGAGAGAGAGAGAGAGAGAATGGTTTGTGGTGGTGTGTGTATCTCGCCGTCGCGGATATTGTTTTCTAAGGAAAGCTTCGGTCATGGCAGGGAATTGAAGGAAACGTCGATGAAGACACGGAGAAGGTTGCTTTGTCCGTTGGGAGGAAGACAGGAGAAGGGGAGAAGAAAGGAGATGCTTGCTGAACGCGCGGGAGGGCCTTCTGTTTCTCTTCGACGAGATCGGTTGGCTAGGCCGATCGGAATCGGCAACGTGCAGATTGTCAACGGTCAGGAGAGAAGACTCTGTCACGGGGACGGAGGAAGCTGTTCCCCCCCACATCCTTTACCTCCTTCTGGAGGAACACGACACGCAGTAGCAGTCCCCTCACTGTGGGTTCTTCGTGCAACTTGGCGCGCAGTAACGGTGCTACGCTGGGAGCAAACTGCTTGCTGGTTCCTGTATGAGCAGTTGGGCGGCTTTGTGCGTTTGCTGCGCAAGCAAGCCGCTTGGGAACCTGTCAATGTCTCCGCTTTGTCTCCGCTCTTCTCAGTTCGTTTCCGCTCGACTCCGTTAATCTCCGTCAAATCTTTCCGTTTTCTGCTGACCCTGGTTGGTGAGTTCGTCGTTTTTATGCTGTTGTACCTCTCTGTGTCCTCTTTATGGTGTATTTTCAATAAAACAACACTAAATAAATTGAAATTCTATGGGTCCCACAACTGATTCTTCCCCCATCCCAGACAGGAAAGGGTAGTAGTAATGGGACTTCGTCGACAATCGGTTAGTCTAGCAGAGAAGCTTTCTTTTGTGAGATGAGAAATGAGGAAACAGCGATCTGTTGCGGTCGACGTCGGCAGATTCGGACATCCAAAGACTTGTTGACGCGCGATGAACTGGCGGCCAATCTGACACGAGTCTTCGAAAGCGACCAGAAGATATTAATAGCGTAGGGGAAGAAGAAGAGGGGTCGTGATCAATATGCTTTATCCTTGTGGAGAGGGGAGGGGGCGGAGAAGCAGCGGATGTGTGGGCATGGTAGGCCATAGAGCGCTGATGTTTTTGCCTCCCTTTGTCCTCATGGTACCCATCAATATGCTTTATCCTTGTGGAGGAGGCGGGGATTAGTAGTACTGTTGGCTACGTCGTAGGCAAGGAGGAAATTGGAAATTACAGATGAGAATTTAGACACTTGGTGATCTGATGTACACAACGGCACTCCTTCCTGTTGTCTTCCTCCTTTTCCTTTCGAGGGAACAGCGTGATGTGTAACGGAGCGCGGGCTGAGGCAAACTGTATGTTATGGCGTTTGCACGGAGACGCATACTCCTCTCCTCCCCTCCCCTCCCCTCCCCTCCCCTTTCTCCATCCCCTGAACAGACGGAGTGTGCTCTTGTTCAAGAGGGAGTCAGCTCTTGTTCAAGAGGGAGTGAGCCCTTGTTCAAGAGGGAGTGAGCTCTTTTTCAAGAGGGAGTGAGCTCTTGTTCTAGTTAATAAAGAAAGAGACACAGCAGTACAGGCGAACAGTTGGACAGTGGGTGTTAGTGGGTGCATGGGGATGTGTGTGGCGGCACTCTTTTCATGTTGCCCATATTTTTTTTGTCGCGCCGCTTTCTCCCTCGCCTTACGTGGAGGTCGAGCGCATTTGCAATGCTCCCAATGTTTCTCTCTCCTCTCGTCTGCCTTTCTACATAGACTCCCGCTCCCGCTACGCTGAATGAAAGACGGGTGGTGTCCGTATGAAGCGGACCATTGTCTAACGGCAGAGTTATTATTATCACTGGCTCCACTTTTTTTTTTATTCCTGGTCTCTTTCGTCTACATAAAGCTCCGGCGTCAAAGCTTTATGTTTTTTTTTTTTTTTTTTTTCTGTGTCTGTCTTTGCCACTTTGTTTTTCTGGTCTCTTTCGTCCATCTTTGCTTTGTCAGGGAGTGTTGTGAGCGAAGAAGGAAAAGGCGAGCATGTGCTTTTTTCAAAATCCTTTCGTTGTCATGGAGTTTCTTGTGAAGTGGGTGAAGGGATGAAGAGCGAGGAGGCTTACTGGTGCGCTTTTTTCCGATTTATTCGATTGAATAGGGAAAGGCCGAAAGTGCAAAGTCCTTTAAGAAGTTGGTGGTGTACGAGTGGTTTTGGCAAAATGCCATTGGGTCTCGCTGCCCGCTACTCTCCAAGTGTGCAAAATGAGAAGGAATCTTCCGCCAGAACAGGGAAAGATTCACGGCCATATTTTTTTTGTCTTTTGTGCTTGTGGTGAGTAGTGGAGCGAAGCCCCATTGGATGCGGCGTGGGTCTTATCCGAACCCACGATGACATCTCCGACTGCTCACCGGCTTGCAGATTAAAGAGTACAGTCACACCAATGAACCTACGATCACATCTCCTATTGCTCGTGCGTTTATTTTGTCGACAGCGACTTTCTTATTGCTGTGCGGCCGTCGGAGAATGAACGGCCAGTGTTGTGCAGAGCCAGCGATGCCGATTGTGCGACCAAGCGTGCGTGTTACGCAAGGAATGAAGCGTGCCGAGGGAGGGTGGGGAGCGATTGGGGGGG